AGCAAAAAAAGCTCAGGGGTAGCACCCAGGTCCTGAGTTCAAGCCCTAGCACCAAAAAAAAAAAAAAAAAAAGTCTGAGCTGAGTTTGAAAGCAAAAAATCCTCAAGTGCCAGCCAGGAAGAGGAAACAAAGCCAGATCTGCAACTGGGAATATTGATGCAATACTGAGGGACTTGATATTTTAAGGGGCAGGAGATAAGGCCTCAGGCTAATGTGATGGGAACTGGAACTGACACACACCTGAATCTGAGAGCCAGAACAGGTACCATGTTTGTGATAGGTGAACTAGAAAAATTCCATCCACTATTTCAAGAAAGCAATATGAAGAGGGCAATTTTCTCAAGGTCTTGTGTGGAAAAAGAGTTGACTGTCACACATTAGAACCACATACTTATTACCATACATTAAATTTATACTACCTAACAATTAACATACAGTATGGCCAAAGGTTGAATGTGATGGCTCATAGCTGTCTTAACAAGATGTCTTTTGGGAGGATTGTGGTTCAGTCCAGACAAAATGTTCATGAGACCCCTTTTCAGCCAATAAGAAGTTAGGTACAATGGCACATGTCTTTCATCCCAGCTATGTGGGAAGCATAAGTAAGAGGACTGTGATCCAGGCTGATCTGTATATAAACATGAGGCCCTATTTGAAGGATAACTTAGGCAAAAAGGAGCAGGGCATAGCTCAAGAAGATAGATTACCTGTCTAACAAGTACAAGGCTGTGTACATCCTAGGGCACTCAGGACTCCATCAAAAATAATTCGCTTAAAAAAAAAAAAACTCTTGGCAAAAAGTTAACAAACTCTGGGAGCCAGGCGCCGGTAGCTCACACCTATAATCCTAGCTACTCAGGTGGCTGAGATCCAGGTATCTCAGTTCAAAGCCAGCCATGGCAGGAAAGTGACATTCTTATCTCCAATAAACCACTAGAAAACCAGAAGTGGTGCTGTGGCTCAACCAGTAGAGCACTTGCCTTGAACTGAAGAGTGCAGGGACAGCATTTAAGACCAGAGTTCAAGCCCCCACAACCACCACCACCACCACCAACAAAAAAGTTAACAAACTCTGTAAGACAATAAATTGCTTAGAGAGACAATGAGTAGTTAGATGTAATAGATTCTCTGTTCCCCCAAAAAATGAGATTAAAAAAATCTTAAAGAGCCATTAAACATGTTTGCAATGTTCACAGAACCCCAAAAAGAAATAGAAATCATAAGAATAGAGTAATATGGAAAGACAACAAGCAGATTTAGCAGGGGAAAAAAAACAAAACAACAAAAAAACTTGTCCAATGAGGGAAAATTTGTTTATGGTACAGAAACAGGTTAAAAAGAAATAAGCTAATAGCTAAAGGGAGAAATAGGTAAATCTGAGAAAAGTACAGAAATATGAAAGGAAAGGTCTATAATAGTTTTTTAAATAGAAGTCATGAATAGGTTTGAATAGAGTTTTTGGTGAGGGTCACGAGGAGAAGACTGGTCAGATTTTATTGAGAATACATACATGTTTAAAATTGTAAGGCAAAACACCAAAATGAAACAAATATGATGTCTAACTTGCAAATTAAAAAGGCAAAACAAGCTTAAACTCAGCCAGGGAGGGTGGTACACAGCCATGAGTTCAGCATTCTGCAGGCTGAGGCAAGAGAACCCCCAGTTCAGTCTAGTCTACATAGTAGAGCTGTCTCGAAACACCAAACCAACCAACCAAGTAAACACATAAAACTAAATATGCTATTAAAAGGTGAAGAACCTCAGATTAGATAGAGGTGGAGCTGGAGAAGCAATATAAAACAGCCATAGGCTATTTAAACCATAATAATCCAGAAAAGTCAAAAGTAAGGCTAAAAGAAATTATACAAAATATATCTAACAGTATCACAGTCAAGAGTTCATTGAAGCAGTGTTCATAATAGGAAAATACAGGTGAAAGAACTCTTCAGTATCCATTAGGCGAATTGATTTCATGGTCTTAAATTATGTGTATATAAAAATAATGAAACACTCTCCAATGTAACCAAGTGGATTAACTGGGATTATATATATCTATTTGGATGAATCAAGAAAATACACTGAGAACAGTAAAATATTTATACCTCTTTCCAAAAGAAAATTTCCTCTTATTTGATTTTATTGTTCATGTGATTTAGCACTAATAATAATACTATTTTGTAATGTAGTGGATCATAGGCAAGGACATTGTCTCAGGTTTGTGGGGGGCGGGGTTGTACATTTTGTCTCATTTTGATTGAAACTCTGAAGGTTGTGAGCAAAGTAATAAGATAGAAAATGATATTCCCAATTGAGCTTCTAGACTACCTGCATGGTATATGTAGAACAGTTTTTGAACCTTCCACCCACTATAGGCTATAAAGAGGGGTGAGGTTTCATGAAGCCCACAGAGAAGAGTTGCTTTGGGTGGAGCATATGCTGTAACTAGTTTCACTTGGGAAACTTAATTTCAGTTCCTGGTTGGTGAACACAGGCATGGTCCTGCGCTTGGGAAAGTTTAGAGACAGAGACCGACTGGCAAAAGCCAGTGGGAATAGACCATTACAAAAATGACAATCATGGGAGAAAATACTGCTGGCCTGGAGTTGAATTAGGGTAGCCAGGTTCACAGGATCCTTGGAAGGATTTTGAAACCCCTACAGAGAGTCACACTGTGAAGTGTGTTGCCAAAATGGGAGACTTAGGGAAGGACTTAGAAGTGGCTGGCTGGAAGAAGCATTACCCCATGTTATGGGTACTTGCCAGTGAGTTCTCAGCAGTAGGGGGCTCTCCAAGGGACTACAAAAGCTACCCTGTAAGAAAAAGAGAGTCAGCTTTAAATATGTCAGTTCAGAGAGCACCCAAACCTTATTAGTGCAGTATTGAAGCAGAAAGCAAAGCTGTTCCTTTTCCCAGCTTTGAACTTGGAGGTCTTAGAAACCAAAGCAAACATTGAAGATCACTAGAGGTGGGGGTAAAAAATGGTGGGGGGGCAGGACTAGGAAATAGGGGAGTCAGATATCCTCCTCCCAGCATGGACTTCTAGGCTAAAAACTTCCCTCCAAGGGAAGGAGATGAGACTTGATTGAGGGTACATTTTACCAAACTCATATCAAAATTGTGTACTTAAAAGTATACAGATTGCTGGGTACAAGTAGCTCATGCCTGTAATCCTATCTACTCAGGAGGCTGAGGTCTGAGGATCATAATTCAAAGTCAGCTCAGGCAGGAAAGTCTATGAGACTCTTACCTCAACCACCAAAAACCCAGAATTAGAGCTGTGGCTCAACTGGTAGAGTATTAGCCTTTAGCAAAAAAATCTCAAGTATAGTACTCAGGCCCAGGATTAGGACCAAAAAAAAAAAAAAAAGTGTACAGAAACCTAAGCATATATCTTGAGGAACTTCTACAATGTGAATGCATCAGCATGTGATCAAGAAACCTTACCAGGATCTCAGAAACCCATGCCCCTTTTTAATTCCTAACAGCCCACCTCCCTGGGGCTAATAATGATCCAAAGCAAGATTTGTTATTTTGTGATTATAAAAGCAATTTTAAATTTTGTCTTCTGCTTTGTGCTTTTAATGAAGTTCTTAGTTGAGGACAAATGTAGGGAACTCTGAAGCTGAGCTGTGAATCCTGGAAAAGGTTTGAGAGATTGGAAACTACCTAGACAGCACTCGTAATGCTGAGCACTGGCCATAGAAGGGTTAAAACAGCTCTGGAGAAGGTGAAGAGACTGGAGTGCTCCCCTCCCCCACTTTCCTTAGGAGTTTGGCAGCTGTGCTAGGGACCTTGTAGGCTGGAGGAAAGACTTTTAGAGCATAAGCTTGGGCTAGCTAAGTGGACATCGTGTCTGGACTTCCTCTGGGCTGCAGTCTCCTTCCTGTCTCAAAAGAATAAGGGAGCCAATGTCTCTCACAAACTCTGTTTTAGCTCTGATTGTAATATTAATATAGATGCTTTATGTTTTGCATGTATCCATGATAACCCTCCCTGTGTGAACTCAAATACGCTTGCTTGTGGGGACTCAGGTCCTAAGTGCCAGAGAGGCTTGGGACCCCTGGTCCCCACTTGTATCTCTCTGTCTCTGCCTCTTCTACTTTTCTTCAGTATGGTATCTTGTCACATTGCCTTTGGTTGCGGTTAGCAACTGTTTGGGTTTGGTTCTACTAAGTGGTAGAGCACTTCCCTAGAAAGCACAAAGGCTTTAGTTCAAATTCCAGCACCACTAGTAAAAGTTCTTAGCTGGAATAACTTTAAAACTATAGAGAAGTTACATCATAATACAAAGAACTTTTCTATTATTCTTTACCCATATTCCTTAATTGCTAATATTTTACTCTTAATGGGAAAGAGCATACCAACTTTTAAGATGGTTGTTTCTGGAAAGGGAAGGAAGGAAATTACTTTGGTGAGGTCTGTAAAGGGACTTAAATTTTAATAATATTTTGCAGAAAATGGCAAAGTATTAGCCTTTTCCACTATAACTTGTGGCTTACTCTCTATAGTTTTCTATGTGTTTGAAGTTTTAAAGAATTCCTTTAAAAATGGAAAAGTTCAGTTTTCCCCTCTGGGAAGTTGGGAGATTTGAAGGTGCTTTGTACTATTGAAATAAATATATCTTTATGACTTCTTTGTTTTTTTCTTAATATGAATTAAGACTCTCTTAAGTGAGCTATAAGGTTGATTCACCTCAACATCATTTTTCTTTTTTTTTCTCTTCCATATTACCTCTCAATGCTAAGTGCCCAGTAGTGTCTGACATAGTAAGATTAAAACTTGCACTTTTCCTAATAGATACAACTCTTCCTGATTTGCAGTGAGCAAGGACCTGCTTTTAAGCAATTACCCCTCATTTGGGGCCATCCAGACACATTGTGCTTTGGTTCAGGTCATAATCAATAATTCATATGTCAATAGGAACCCCATTAGCTCAGGTGAAGGCAGATGTCTTTCTAATGAAAATGTTCCATTTTCCAAATGACTTTTCTTTTTCTCAGAGAGTTGTGGTTGTAGAAGACATAAAAAGATGGAAGTCTATGTTGGAGCTTCCTGACCAAACCAAAGAGAATCTAGTTGAAGCCTTACAAGAATTAAAGAAGAAGATACCCTCAAGGGAAGTGTTAAAGTCAACGAGAATAGGTATTGCCTAATTTTCTGACACATACTTATATTTTGTCTCCTTTTCCCCCCTTTCTACCTTCCTTGAAGTAGTGTCCCCTCATCAGGGCTTTTAAAACTATCTCTGGGAGAAGACCATTGTTTTAGAAATGTTCATTGGCCATGAGCCAATACTTTTGTAAGATAGTAAAAATAACAAGAAAAGTAAAATTGAGAATATATATTGTACAAACTTCAATTTTAAAATTAAACTCATCAGATGTAAAATTACTGTCAAATTTCTGTACGTTTGTAAATGCCTGTATTAATTTTTGGTATTTAACTTTGTGGAATGGTAACTAACAATGATCTACATGACACATAAAATTTTGAGTGTGGTATGCAAAATGAAGAGACCTCAGAAAACTTAGGATTTGGTCAGAGACAACAATGTGGACAGATGGAGGGGTAAAATCCTGTAGGTTATAAATAAACACATAAATAATTTTCTGAGCACTGTTCTGCTGTGGACGATTGTTATGCTGTCTCTAAAGAATGAGCAATCACTTAGATCTGAGGAATTAAATAAAAGACATCGTAGAAGAAGTGACATTTTAGTTAATCTTGAAAGAAACTTAGCTTTTCTGTCTTGAGTTGAAATAAAAGCCTGGATTGTAAAGCAAGATGATAGCAACATTTGCTTTCCACCATATCATTTATTGTAGCTTTGGAGGTATTTCAAAGGTAAGTGAGGCACATTGAATTGCCATTTTAGTACAGTACACAACTGTGGATAATATGCAAGGGAGGACCAACATGTGTTCCTCAAGCTGCTCTTGAGTCTCCAGAGAGCCCAGGGCATCATTCACAGCTGCTGCTCTTGCCCTCAGTAGTGCAGCCAGGGCCTCGCCTGCCTTTCCCTGACCTCTTGTTCTGAGAAGGAGGAGAGAAAGCTGCTTCACCCTGGCACTAACAGCTGGGAAGGGCTGTGTAGAATCCCCAGGAGGACCCCCAAGAGTTTTAGCGTTGCACCCCTGTAATATAAACCAGAATTGGAGAAAATTAGATGCTTAAAAAACATAAAACCCTATCATTATAGCCATGGAGACTCTCCCATCTGCTGCTGGATTTCCTGTCTTTATAGGTTGTGGTCACTAGAGGGCAATAAGACCTTTCATATGAGCCCATGAGGCATCTCCACCAGTAGAGGGTACTAGTGATTAATATTTTATGACGTGTATGTGTACATATGTGTATGTATATGTTTATATTTAGGCATGTGCCACACATGCCATGGATGATCAGATCTTACATGTCAGCATAATAAACTAGAATTTCCCTAAAAATGCAAAACAGGTAATAATGTTCAAAACATTTCTGTATGGCCTTTGAGTACAATGGTAAGTATTTATTTTCAAGAATGGGTGTGTCTGATGTTGAAAGATTACAGTTCAAGAATCATAATGAAATTGCAATGGTACTTGACTTAGAAGGACTGGAAACCATCCAACTTTGGGATCTTGACCTACCCAGTCCTTTCCTAAACAAGGATATGTGGAATACAGGGGTTTCTTGATTCTGAGAGTTATGCCCTGTGTGGTGCTTGAAGATTTCATTTGGATTATTCTTAAGAATATTTGTATTTTCCAATGGTTGGCCTTCCTGCCTGACCCTGTCCTGTGAACAGGATATTTGTAAGATACAAATATTTACTGAGTACCTTCTTTGTACTGGGAACTGTGCTGGCACAATAATGAAAGAGAAAAGTCATGGCCTCATCTCTTTGGAACCTGAAGTTTAGTGGAAAGGCATGCAAGTTAACAAGACTTTGTCATACAGTGATAAATGCTCTGAAGACGGGGAGGAGTTAGCCAATTGTGTGTGTTAAGAGAAAGGGGGAAAGTGTTAAAGAATGTGTCAGGCAGGGGGTACACCATGTAAACTGTAAAAAGGTGGAGGTGGGAAAGAACGTTGTGCATTCCAGAAACTCAAATTTATTTGGTGTGTTTAAAATAAAATACTCTAAAGAGAGCGTGGTAAGAAGTGTGGCTGGAGATAGTCTGGACCAGATGGAAAAGGCTTTTTGTAAGCCATTCAGAACTGTTTGGTTTTGGCAATGTATTAGGTATCTGTCACTGTGTAAAAATTATCCTAAAAATTAGCTTCATAAGACAGTATTATTTCACATAGTTTTTCTGAACTACTTATCTAGGCAGTTCTAGCTCATCAGTATCTTTTAAAAGGTTGCAGTCAAGGTGTTGGCTAAGGCAGCAGTCATCCAGTGTGAGGATCTGCTTCCAAATGGTCTACTCACAGGATTGTCTCACTTCCTCATTGTGTGGGCCTCTGCTTAGGGCTGTCATGGTATGGAAGCTGTCCTCAGATCAAGTGATCCAGGAGAGAACAAGAGAATAATCCACGTGAAAGTCACAGTTTCTGGTGTAGCCTAATCTCAGAAGGGATACATTATTATATCCATCCTATATCTCTATTAGACCAATGTTGGTACAGTTTGAAAGGCAACTCGACAAGATGTGGATACCAGGAGATGCGACTGTCTGGGGGCTGTCTTATAGATAATTCTCAAACTTGAAAACAAACTTCAACCATTATCTCTCCATTTTAAAATACTTCCCTACGCTTGTTTTGGCCTGCATATGTACTAAAATAAGAATAATGCAAAGAATAGCATGCCCTCTTAACAATGACAGGCAAATAAGTGAAGCATTCCATTTATTTTTGTTATTGTTGCTTGTGAGGCTTGAACTCAGGGTTTGGGTGCTGTTCCTGAAATTTTTTTACTCAAGGCTATGCTCTACTACGTTCAGCCACAGTGCCTCTTCCAGTTCTCTGTTGGTTAATTGGAGTCTTACAGATTTTCCTGCCTGGGCTGGCTTTGAACCACAATCTTTAAATCTCAGCCTCCTGAGTAGCTAGGATTATAGGAGTGAGCCACTAGTGCTTGGCTTTCCATATTTTTTAAAGTGTCTCCTGTTTATTTATTTATTTACTTTTGGTAGTATTGGGGTTTGGACTGGGGGCCTTGTGCTTGCTAGGCAGGCTCTACTACTGAGTTTCACTTCCAGCCCTGTCTCCCTTTCATTATCCCTGTTTCTTCCTTCTGAGATCCTAGGTTAAGCCGGGCTGGGAAGGTGGCTCAGTGGTAGAGTACTTGCTTTACATGCATGGGACCCTGGGTTCAATTCCTCAGCACCACATAAGCAGAAAAATTCTGAAGTGGCACTGTGGCTCAAGTGGTACAGCACCAGACTTGAGCAAAAAGGAGCTCAGGGACAGCACTGAATTCAAGCCCCAGGACTGGCAAAAAAAAAAAAAAAGTTGAAAAAAAAATTAGGTTAAGCCTTCCATTTTCCAAATTCTATAGCCATATCTATAGCTATTTCTATAGCCAATTTTATGGCATTTCTGCCATAATTTTTTTGTCTCACAGTATTCTAGGTAGTTTATTCTGATATTTCTTCCAACCCACTAATTCTTCCTTCAGTTGACTCTAACCCATTCATTAAGCTCATTTCAAAAACTGCTTTTCATTTTTGCAAGTTTGCTCTTTCCTCTAAATCTGACTTGTGTCAATGCTATTTGTACATTATGATTGTTTTTATTTCTTGAAACATTTAGCACATAGCTCTTCTGTATCCTTCAGCTGGCTGTTCTAATATTGATAGTCCTTAGGGATCTAAATCTGTTGTTTATTTAGTGTGTGCTGACTCTCATGGTGCTTGTTTTCCCTTCAGCTTGTTGATTTTCCATTGTGAACTTGTTGTATTTTTCAGTGTATAGGAATTCTATGGGACTAGATTGGTGAAGCTTCCCACTAAAGAGGATTAGCTTCTTGCTTCGTTTCTGCCAATAGTCAGGGGCACCTCAGGCCTAGGACACTTTAGCACATCTCAAAGATTCATCTCAGTCAATATAGGAGTTTCAGGATTAGCTCTCTCACCTACCATTAGTTCAAAGCCAAGTATTTCAGCAGCATTATTATTGATTGGTTTAGCTCTTAGGCCTAGCCTATTCCTCTCTGAGCCTGCTTTTCTGGCTACTGCTCACTTTTTGGCTGGTGGGCATGAGGTGACTTTTGTCTCATATCTAGCTGTATTGTAGTGAAATGATAGCTTTAGCCTAAATTTAGTCAGAGTGTTTACTTTTTTTTTTTTTGGGTCCGGTCGTGGGGCCTGAACTCTGGGCCTGGGCGCTGTCCTTCAGCTCTTCAGCTCAAGGCTAGCACTCTACCACTTGAGCCATAGCGCCACTTCCGGCTTTTTTCTTTTTGCTTATGTGGTGCTGAGGAATCGAACCCAGGGCCTCGAGCATGCAAGGCAAGCGCTCTACCACTGAGCCACCTTCCCAGCCCCGAGTGTTTACTTTTTATCCTAAAAGTAATACTGTTATTATTCAAGAGTTTTGAATGAAGGAAAGACATTCAGATTTTCATTTTTATTTTTGCTGATCCTGGGGCTTGAATTCTGGGCCTGGGCACTATTCTTGAGCTTTTGTGCTCAGTTCTCTACCACTTGAGCCACGGCTACACTTCAGCTTTTCCTGTGATTAATTGGAGATAATAGTCCTCCTCCCCTGTCTGGCTTCATACTGCAATCCTCATCAGATCTCAGCCTCCTGACTAGCTAGAGTTACAAACGTGAGCCACTAGTCCTAGCTCAGATATTTATTTTAGAAAAATCTATCTGTTTCTATTGTGGGAAAGTGTTGGAGAGAAGCAAGCCTAGAGGTAGGAAGCCCAGTTAGGAAGCTGCTAAAACATCTGGATAAGACATGAGAGTGGCCTGGGACTGATAGTGGGTAGGGGTACAGAATGCAATCAAGAGATGTAAATGTGATTGGATATTGGGAATGATGATGGGGGAAGGTAGAAGCGTAGGTGTCTGGTATGAACAAGTAAGTGGATGGATGGTAATACTACTATAGCAATACAGAACAGCAGGTTTGGGGGTGGGGAAATAGTAAGTTCAGTTTTAGACTTACTATGTTTGGCATTCTATAGAACATTCCAGAGGAAATGTCCC